TCTTTGAAAACTACTAATCATTTAGACCACGAATTGAAGACCCTAGAGATTTACATGAATTATAATGTGAATGCCAAATTAAAGCACATTCAGAATATAATTAATTAAAAAGTACTTTTCAGTGATGACTTGTACTGAACTAGCAGATAGCAGAACATTTGCATGTGCAATTGTAGGAAATGACACAGAATGAGAATGACGGAAAGAGAAACTGAATATGTTGATTAATTATGGGATGAAAGTAACCAGGTTTTAATTAAGTCACTTTGCAAGTTTTAGACACACTAATAAGGGAATTAAACTGTTTAAACTGAAGGAAGAATCAATGATGGAAACAGATCAAATGGGTCACGGTCACTCACTGCCCACTATCAAAATTCCATCACATATATTGTGGTGGTTATGCCATATTATTATAATATGGACAAAAATTTATGTCATATTTTTAGAATATATGAATAAATATGAGTTTATATACACACATATATTTTTACTATTCAGGAATTTTTAGAGTGATGATCAAAAATAAAATTATGAGAGTTTAATTTTAAAGTGAATAATATCTTATCAGTGTAATAATATGTGTGTAAGAGCCCTCTGATACATAACAAGTGGTATTCAAAGTTGATGATCAACCAAGTGATCGATTCAACAAATATGGTGAATTCAGGTATAAGATTTCTTGTATCGAAAATCTTCTTAATAATAGATTCATATATAAAAGAGAGTCTTTATGGTAATATAGAGGATTAAGAGACACACTATCATGAGTTAAATGATGGGAACGAAGGTGTAAGTACTTAAAACATAATTAAGTTTTATGAATCACCATTCGATAAACTTGTGAATAGGACAAAGTTAGAAATTTGGTTTGAGCGAAAGCCAAATTTTTTTTCTTTTTTATATATATAACACTTATTTATAAATATTCTAACATCATAAATAATTCATTATCATTTATATTTTTTTTTATCTCTCTTTCTATCACATTATTTATCAATCCTACATATATTTTTCTATTTTCTTTTTCTAATCGTAAACTAATATGATAATTTTTCACCTATCAATTTATAATATTTTTTTATATAAATTTTAGGGGGCTAAAAAATTTTTTTTAAAGAAATTTTGGTACATATTTATATTTTTTTTTATTTCGGGAACCATGGCCCTTGTAGGTTCCCCGACCTCTCCCTCTAGCCCTAGCTATTCATGAATTAACTTTCGCTCCAAAAATGGGGTAAACAATAATCCTTGGTTTGAGAAAAAAATTGTTAAAAATGTTACATTAGAACATATAAATGAACATAAGTTTATATATAGTAAGAAACCTATTGAACAAAATTATTAGAGTTTAAGTCCAAAATAAATTAAAAATGTGTATATAAGAATTTTTGGTGCGTAATACATACATGTATGTTTATATACATATGTACTATTTTTAATTAAAATTAGAATTTTATTTCAAAATTTTATCAAATAATAATTAACATTAAAAGTTAATACATGTTATCAAAATAAAACTTAAGCAAAAAATAATACAAAAAATATGTTTGAAATGTATACAAGTTCTGTCGTATTATTATATTATTACTTAATGGTATCAGCAAGTGTATTGAAGCTACAGTATGGCTTTAAGAATATGTTCTATTTTCAAAACAACAAGAATGTGATATGGATTTGATGTGATTATGAAATTCTGATTCCTGATGCATGCACACACATTTCTAAGGATTAAATTAAATAGCTGACTTTTTTGTTGATAAATATAGAGGGTATTTTTGGCTTAGAGATAGATACTAATTATTGAAATTTATTTGAGACTTTTTCCGATAGTGTTTCTTCAATACACAGGTCTGCTTGCTTGATTTTAGGAATTAGATGACTGCAATTGATCACAATCATATATATACACATGCAGTCCCCACAAAATCATGACTGAGAGATTAGGAAAGAAACCTACCATTGGACTTATCATGTTTATTTAAAACCTATTAAAATTATTCCATTTTCATATAATGTGTTGATCCGAGTGAGGGGAATTAATTTAGATTCCATTAACATCTGACTATATTCTGTGAGATTAGATCCTCACTTAGTGGGTGAGTGAGAGAATATTCTTAGAAACTAAAAGAAGTCTCCAAAACTAATGATAGATAGACCACATCAGGTAAAAAATCAAACAAAAGTTGAACAAGTCTTTTTTGTATATATCCTATATATATATATATATATATATATATATAAATTTAGGTGAAGATATATAGAATTTATTTGGAATGTTCCAACTAACACAGTTGAACTTAATATATAAAATTTGGGTTGTTACCTACCATATTTGCTAATTTAGCTTTTAGTGTTTGTATTTTAGCTTTTGTAGACCACTAGGAACATTTAACACTTTTTTCCCCACTTTTTGGTTTTTATTTATGCTAATTGTTAGTCTTAATAAAAAAAAAATGTGATATATATATTTTTTTATGTATGTTCGTTAAAACACATAAATAGAATAAAATTAGTTGAAATTTATTTATATTAAAATCCATTATTATTCATGAAATTTTGCTTACATGGAGGCTAGGGAGTAATTTTCAAGCATTGGTTGTAGTTGGGGAAACTGAAGCTTATGCAAGTTCTGCCAAATCAAGACACATCTAATTTCCCTTAAAAGACATTGATTTCATTTATTGTCTGATGAACACTGGCCCCTCATTCATTGGTACTAGCTAGCTTGTTTCTTAACCAAAGATTGTGGTTATAACAAAATTTCTTTCTATCAATTTTTTACACATTAATCCTAAAATGAAACTCATTATACATAGCATATGAAATATGAACCCATTTTCAACATTTGCTAAACCAACCAAATAAAAACACTTATTTCATTATAATCATGCACTATGTAGCACTTGCCACAACTTTTTTTTTTTTTTTTTAATGTATTCAACATAAAAATTATTGGTGTGAGACATAATATTACAAGAAACACGAACACGAAGAAAACTGAGAAAAAACACTCCCATAGCTATAGTACCCTGAATTTATGAATCTGCTTGTCGATGGTGACTTCTCAACCATGCGTATACAAAACATCATTCACAACGTGTCGCCATTTTGTGGTTAGGTTTCTTCTATCAGTCTCCAAATAGGGTAATTCAATTGATACAAGCCACCCCAATCTTCAGATTCCAAGTCTAGATAATATAAATATAAATATCAATGCACACATTTATGATATACTTTTTATTATTAGATTATATTTTTATTCGAAGAACTCCTTATTATTAGTTCAAATTTATAAAAAATTACCAAAATCATTCATTGGCCTTGTTAAATAAGAAGTCTTTCAAGCATCTATAATTTTAATAAATTTTAATTAATAATCAAAAAAATTATTTGAAAGATTTTGTTCATATTTTTTATTCTTTGGGAAACCAAGATATCACATAATTGAAAGCTAAATAGTAATCTCTCTAAGTATTCATTTAAGAGGTTAATTTCATTTAACAAATATTTTTTTACACACCAATCAAAAATCAAATCCCTTACCATACTACCATATGATGTGTTTTTAACACTATTAGAAAAATGTTATTAAATTATGAATAAATGTTATTAATGTACTTTTGTGATATTTTATCAAAAGTGAGATATAACTTATGTTATTAAAACTTTTACATATTAATTGTAACAATTTAAAAATATTATCAAAGTGATATTTTGTAATATTTTAATAATATTATTAAGTAATTGTAAATTGTATAAAATGATAATTAATTTTAAGATAAATTGCACTATTACTAATATATTTTGTCTTCTCTCTACAAGCCCTTTAAGATTAAAAGATGTCTTAATTTAAAGATCACTAAGCTTAGATCATATATAAAAGTTTATTTATCTTAAATTTCACTATATGATTATATATATTTTACATGTCATTTTTTTTACTTAATATGTGACTTAAATTTTAAAAAATGATTAGAGATATAAAAAAAACATATTCTTTATATATCATTATTTTACTTGATCTAAGACTTAATTTTAAAAAACAATTAAAAAGAATACAATTGAGATAAAATAAATTACAATAAATTATTAATATTTTAATAAATATAAATAGATAAATATTATTAAAAATGTTAAATGTAATACAACTACATATTTAAGTTATCTACTAAACATGTGATACATTATTGGTTGCACATTTTTATTTGTGTATATACTTGAGAGTGAGTATTTTACACACATATATATTAACTTACATATTCAACAATTTTCTGAACCACTAGACAACCCTACCCTACGAAGAATGGAGTATTTGAATTGTGGGCCCCACAAGCCACTCACAGTAAGTGAAGGAGATAGACAGAAACCACAACTTACTCTGTATAGAATTCGGAATGCTGTTATTATTATAGTAGCACTCGGAAAACATACATGATGATGATCTCACAAGATTTACAGAAATCCCATTGCACATGGCTGTATATCATATCAGTAACCGTCCTTAATAGAGTGAAGAATGAACTTGTGCTACCAAAAAAATTATTAAAGTAATTTTTAACTAATTTTTATATGATATGTAATTAAAGTATCATTAAATTTTTTATAAATTAAAAGATTTAAATATGTTATATAATGATTAATTGAAATTATAGATATTTAATTGTCTTTGACTATCTAATCATTTTTCCAGTAACACACTGCATTATACTGCACTCAATGTGTTTTTTGAATAGGTCAAATCATTATGTATATTGAATTAGCTAGGGTGTATGAGGTGGAGACTTGAGAGATTAAAATCTTTGACAAGCCAATTGGCATGCATGGTTTTATATGGACTACGTGAATAGATTAGGAATTTACTTAGGTTCCTTTTTTGAGGATAGATATATATTATTATTTTTTGGTGAAAAAGTGGTTACAAAATTGAGAGTACAATATTGAAAGGGTCATTGGTGGTATAGCTAGTGGAATATTTGATGCCTCTTTCACCCATTCTTTCAAGCGAGAGTTGGAACCTATCTTCCCCTTATATTTTTCCTATAAATAGGTGCTATTGGCCAGTGAGAAACCCAACACTTCCAAGCTACAAACCCAACTCTCCATTTTTCCAACCTATCTCTCTATTTTCCTTCTTATCCCTTCTCACCACTCCTATTTCTTCTATATATGCATATATACGATACTAAATCACTATTCTTCATCTTCTTCTCTTTTTTTTTTCTTCTATATATGTGCCTTTTCTTTTTTTATTTTGAATGTACAGGATGTGAAGAAATATTAGAAAAAGACGAAGGAAGACAATAGTTGATAAGGTTGTTGACAGAAGATAGAGAGCACTAATGATGATATGCACACATAGATACATGAAACTATAAAATAATTGCATCTCACTCCTTTGTGCTCTCTAGGCTTCTGTCATCCACCTTCACTAACCTCCTTACTACTCTTTCCACTAATCAAACGAACAGTGTAATTAATTTTGCATTGATCTTCTGAAGTTTAAATTCATATATAATTACAATATGGACACATGATCATATGAATGTTTACATACATGCATACACATGAAACTTGTGGGAAACTTCCCTTCTTTTTGTCTATTCTTTCGAGAACCTTGTTTTTCACCTCTCAAAATTTCAGCTATATATTATTCATCAGCTTCTTAGATAAATATTTGGGCATTTAATGGCCATGTACCTCTTTGCATTTTGCAGTTAGACTCGCAGCAGTTTTGGCTGTTGTAGATCATGTATCTGTTCTTTGATGGTATGAAAAAGCTATAGAGCGAGAAGATGAACGAAAGAACGAGATAGCTTGACCAAGGGTTGTAATTCCTTCCATATATACCTTTTAGGAAGCTTGATTATTTACTTTACATAAGTGTAATCATAACATAATGTCTTCGATCAATTCGAAGCTTAGATTAGATACATATTGGTTTGTTTTTCTTATTTTTCATATACATGAAAGAGTAATAATACATAATTAATACATCTATATATCAAACATTTCATCTATATATACCTATGTATTATTTTTGCTTTTCTCGCATCATTTCATCCATTATACTTACATTTTTCTTTCTTCTTACTCTTTTTTCCTCTAGATGTTAAATGCCAGTGTCCGCCAATCTTTTTTTTTCTATCATTTAGCAGTTTTTAGAGTTTGCTTGAATATTTACCAGATCATAATTGAGGTATAAATTGTCATGTGTTTTTCCATGAAAAAAAAAACAGTGTGCCAATTAACGTAATTCGCAGCGAAGGACGAGTTACTACCACTTACTGGCTTGGGGAAAAAACAAATGAAATGGGAATTTTGTGCATTGGAAGAGTATAGAAGGAAGAGAAATAATGTACGGAGAGAAAATGGGCATGACATTACTACCCCACACTTGTTCACTGATTCGCAAAGCTGATTTCTGCATCAGTCAATGAGTCTACGGATTACAAAGGGGATCAAGGCTTCTCATTGGAGATTTCATAGTGTCAATAATTCAATATATCTAGTCACTATTAGTTATGATTACTCTCATTCATCTAACTTAATTATAATTATATTTATGCTTGGGTTGTTATTATCATTTTTGGTTACAAGGGTTACTATTATCATTCACCTAGTTTAAGTTCTTTCTTTTCACGTGTATGATAAATTGATAATGGCTAATGCACTCGATTCAAATAATCAGTCCAAACGTATTAAAAAAAAGAAAAAACACGTTCACATTTAAATATAGATATGGTTTCTGTTGAACTTCATTTAAAGTGGAATTCATTTTTGATAATAAAGTGAAAATTGAAATTATTATTTAAAATGTCAAAATCAATATTATTTAACTTTATAATTAAATACATACATGTATATAACAAGTTGTATAATTATTTAAATTTCAAACTTAATTTTTTAATGGAAAGCTAAAATATTATTTATTTTCCTCTAAAATTAACATGTGGATCCATTGTTTTAAATAAGTTAAAATATTATCCAGTTTATCAATTGTTAAAAAAAAATCCCATTAGTGTATTGATCATCAACTAAAATTGCGATCGAAATGAACCCGTTATGCGATGTATTCCAACTGTGGTAGCCAATTAATATATCCCATTAATTGTATGAACGTTTAATTTTTTGCACAAAAGGGGTTTTAAATTTGAGAATTTTTATGTAAAAGGGGCTTATATAAATTATGAGTCATAAAATGTAATCTAACTTCCTGCCAACTTGTGCTCTTAAATAAAATTTGTGTTTGTTGATCAAAAAAAAAAAAACAAACATGAACGTTTAATTTTTCTGTTCTGCAATCCGAGATAGACACCATTTCCGGAAGAAAAAAAATGTGGACCAAATCTAGAGAAATTACATCACATTTTCCAGTTTTATATATGCATGCCAAAACGAAGAAGATGATGATCAAGAATTAATAAATAAAGTTAGAAAAAAAAAAAAAAACACTTTTCGACCATTTTTCTATTCCTAGGTCCTAGCTGTACGTATAGGTAGGTGTATTAAGATGAACCCTTACGAGGTAGCAAGTTGGGACATCATTTTATAAAGCCAATGGCTGAGGTTTTAAATTATTATTTGTCGTCTATTGGCTTCAAAGCCACAGCATTTCTGTAAATGAAAAAGTCATTTTCAAGAAAGGTTCATGTCATTGCCTTTCATATTCATAATTAATGTTATTACTACGAGTAAAATGGAAACAATGTACTGAAAGGTAACAAACTTGAGAGGTGAAATTTTACATTTGTAGACATAACTAGTTGAGATGTCCATAAGTAATGAAAAGCTTATATTGTTTGTTATCAATAAATTTGAAAAGAAGTTTAAACAAGAAAAAGAAATCAAGAAATTTGAAACAAGAATAAGTTGTATTAATTAACTAACTAATTGAGAATGGTAAAAGTTTTAGTTATATAGATCAAATCATCAAAGAGAAACAAGCTTTTCAATGATGAACAAAATGGTCAATCTATAATACGAAGAAAAAAAATTAGAAATCTATAAGATAAGAAAATTTAGCTTATTCGTATTGGAGAATTTGAATTAAAAAGATAAAATAACCTCATAAAGATGAATAATGATAAAATTGTTGGTTCTGTAATGATATTTAAGTTTGAAAATGTACAGGAAAAGGAATATTAATTATTTAGCCCATTTTTTTAATGAGATTTTTTTAATCTAAAAAATAGTCATAAGTGGAGGACAACGGGAAACAGTTTTTGGTTCCTACATATTGAAAATAATTAAATAATAGATATTCAAAATTGTCTATGCAGAAAAATAATAATAATGAAAATGACTGTGCAATAATGAAAAGAAGAAGAAGATGAAGAAATCTATAACTGTAATAATAATGAAAATAACATGTTAGAATTTTGTTCGAACCTATTATTTTTGTTGAGAATTACCCTAAGGTCGTGATGATATAATATGAAATGGTACAGTCCAAATTATTAGTATTTTATTTTTTGGGATATGCCAAAAAAATATTATTACTTCGAGTACAAGGCGTACTGCAAGTAATAATATTACTATTTGATAGTTCAATATTATTATCATTACTGTTGGCTTCTCATCCTATCACTATCAACTTGCAAGACAGAGGAATGGAGAACGACAATTGTTCTTCTAGGTTCGTGTATGGCAGAGAAGAAATAAGTAAGTGAGAATTAAAGGGAAAAAAAAGTGAATAGAAATAGTAAAAGATAAAATAAAATTTTGGTTAATTAAAGAAAAATTAACAATTAATAAACATAATATATATATATATAAGAAAAAAGAGAAAAATAAATAAATATAAATAAATAAGAAGATAAAATTCATTATCTTTTAATTTTTCATCTTCTTATTTTTTTTAACAATCAATTTCATTTATTTTTATTCTCTCTACTTTATTTCTTATCCATTTTTTTAATCAAACATGACATAAGAGTAACATATTGGACCCCTTTACCTTTACTAATACATTTTTAAAATATCGGCCCTAATAATAAATACTAGTATTAAGAAAGTTATAACATAACATCCATATTCCGTACAACTTTATTATATTGTCGTTAATGATATGGAATAAACATTTTATAATCATGACATAACTAAATTAATTATAATTAACTAATAGTAAAGTCTAAAAAAATGTCAAAGATTTTTAAAAATTTATAAATCTTTTGGAAACATATTTAAATCACGTTCAAGAAGTTTTTTAAATTACAATGCATAAATGTAAAAGTAATTCTATGATGAATTGACATTAGGTTGAATTGGACTCGGGGGACGATCCACAGCAGAATTAAGATGGGCGATTGCTCAAGATTCATTATTAGAGACATACCATTTTTTTAATTTATATAAATATAAAATTAAAATTTACATCATTAAATCATATAAGAAAAATATTATTATAAAAAAATAAATTAATTTAATAATAATTAATCAATTAATATGTGATGTTTCTATTTCTCAATAAAAATATATTTATAATTTTAAAAAAATAAATCGATAATATCAAATATAAAGAGGTAAGTGTAATACATAATATAATGTATAATTGGTTTATTTTCTTTAACTTCTTTTATTCTATAATTTTTTAT